TGAAGTCGGACAACATGAAGAATACTGACTGTTTAAGATTAAACATAAAATCCTGTTTTGAAAAACAAAGTGTATGTACAGCATGCCTATCAATGCTACTAGCACTGTAATAGTCCTGTTTCTGTCTCTTGGATTTCTATTAGCTTCAATGAGAAAGCTGTAGTTCACCCAGCAGGAAAGGCAGATTGTACTATAAATGGGACAACATTTTTCTAAGAAGGTGACTGTAATAATCAGTCAGGCAAATTTCCCATGACACATTGAGAAGAAGGGAATCTGTTAATGCACAACTTGTTCAGTTCAGAGTTTGGTTCTGTAACATCCAATTACACTTTGTTACTGTGGAAAGGAAATATATTTGGAATTTAAAAAGGCAGTTCTGATTTCTGACTACTGTACAGCAGGAGTGATTCTGCCGTTGAGACTTGAAAGTTAAGGTGCAATGAGATGCTTATGCAGTTGCGACCTGCGAAGTGTGTGTGAAAGACCCACTCTGTATTCATGAAAACACTGAGTTGTTAAGCAAAGGAAAAGCAAATACTGCTGTATATCTTGAGATCAACTTCCCAAGTTGATTCTGCTACAAGATAAAGGAAGAGAGCAGTTCATCCATGTTGCAGGTGAAAAACATGGAAGTTAAATATACTTATTGTGCCTGAAAATGAATTTGTTTGGTTTGTTCCTAAAAGGGAGCCAAGCGTACTGCAGGCTTGAACATGAAGATATAATGAATAGAGCACATGGATCAGTAAATCTGCAGATTAGTAATACAATGAAGGTTGTTGAAGTCTACCTGAACAATTAGGATCTAGTGATTTGCAGAATGGAGTCAAGAATGTCTATGTACCGTACATTTATAAGCAGCACTACAGCTACAAGGAACTAATGTGCATTTGTGTAATCAATACTACTGTAAGAGCTACCTGAGAAAGTAAAATCAACTTGATTCCTGGTCCTGTATTGCAAGGAGTCGCCCATGCAGTAGATGAGTAGATGTGAGGCAAAGTAGAACTGGGTTGATATACTTAAGCTATATGGATCCGTGAGGTAAATATCTCAGCAGAAGGGAGCATAAATATATGCTGATCCTCAGGCAGTTATATAGCATTTCCCAAAGAGATCCCCCCAAACAAGCCAATTGCATGGGCTCCGACAGGAGCTGCTATAAAAAAAACATAACCCAGCAGCTGTAAAGTGATAAAGCAGCAACATTTCTTTGCACAGTTCGCTACTCTTGTCTTCTCTGTAAGTTCTATTGTTAGAATTTTACCATTTTCTTTATAACACACCACACACAGTACTAAATGGTGGAATTTTTACTTGATATGTTGATAAGCAGCATCTTATTCAGCATCTTCTTATGGAAATGCTGAGCAACTATTCAGTTCTGGTCCCTTTGACTCTTCTTGTCACTGATGGACTGAATGCAGAACCTTTGCTTTTTTTCTTCCCGGTTCTTGAATAAGCCAGTCTTTTCTTGAAACATCAGTGCATTAAATACTTCACAATAGGAGGAAAAACTATTTGCAAGACCCCAGTTTCCTACTAATCATATTGCTAGGAGTTCTGAGAAGCTCCATATTCCTTAATGATGTTCCTAAATAATGACAGATACTTGATATTTGCTTTTTGGTATCACACAATGAGCAAATATCAAAAGCTTCACAAAAAGGACATGAAACAAAAAGAAGCTTACAGGAAGACTGGAGAAAGATATGTTTCAAATCATTGATTTATTCCACGTGAGCCGCTTTGTTCCTTGAAATATCATCTGATCATTTATCACAGAATATTTTTATGTAAAAAACCAACCTGTTTTAAACATTGCCTGTTATCTTTCTTCTAATTCATGCAGGTCTTGCAGCCTACTAGTAGGCAAAATATAACCACTTTTAAAGTATTGCCACTGGAAAAGTTCATTTGCACATTCTTATTTGCTCCAAAATACTTTTCAGATTACTTAAATGAAGTTCAGTGAGTCTTAGAAACATGAATAATTCCAGTAAGATCTTACAGGGATTACAACTGCAACATAAAGTACACCATGTATTGGTTAATTGCTGTGAGGTGATTGGGGCCAATCTGGTTGAGTTAAACTGCTTGAATTGTCAAGCTATAGGAAATTCCATGGATTGTGAGAAATCTTTTTTCCAAGGCAAAGCCAAGATTGACTTTGGACTATAGTAGTTAAATCACTTCCCTGAGCTAGAGGAAGCTGGATTTCCATCCTTGTGGCAATGAATATTTATACAGAGTGGAACAGAATCAACAGGAGTAAATTTAATACTTTCCTTTTTGGGATATATGTGTGTGTGTGGTTTAAGACAAGTACATTCCTATAACATCTAAAGGGAGATGATGAAATGTACAGGGCTGCAGAGGATCTAAGCTTTGACTTGTGTACCAAGTTACAAGCACGTATATCTCTTTGTGAATCTAAAATTAGTGATTTAGAAATTGATGTCTCAGGTTTCTAGATGGAGAACTTAGAAGCCTAAATCCCACTTGTCTGAAAAGAAGATTAGGATCCTAGACGGAATTTCTTGAAAATGGTACATGTGTAAGTCACCTTATATTTGCATAGTACTCTTACCTGCATGAAAATTTACCTTGAAGTGAATTTGTTGTCTAGGTATGAGACTATAAAATAAATTAAAAGGTTTTGACTTCGAAGCCTTGAGAACTAACAGTATTTAAAGATTTTATTTTTAAACTAAATTGTATATGTCCTGAACTTAGATTTCTTTAAAATTTATTCAGAATTACAAAACACTACTGGAGGACATAGAATGTATTCTATCAGTACTAACTCCCATAAAACATATAATAAATTGTGAAACATATAATAAATTGTGAATGCCTAGGTATTTATTTAGAATAATTTTTATTGATGTTGCACTGAGAAAGGCTGTAAGAAGTGAAATAGAATGCAGACACATATACCTAGGATTTCAACAGGCAATGCTGTTGGCTATAAAGCAGGATAAAATGAAATGTGACTTTGTGTGAAGCTTTGCCATCGCTTCAAGTGAAGGACATACACTTACTCAGCTGTTCAGGAATTCAGCCACAAAGTAGGAGGAGATGGGTAATTCCATACGATAAAGGTGAAGGTTAAAAAGTTACTCTCAATGGTATCTGACTGCTATTTGTACCTTGCCTTTCCCTTTCAAAGGTCAGCAGCTTTGCGGCATCTGGAGTAGTGGCAATATAGACTACCCTACTATGAAATAAATAAATAAATTGTGAGTGAATTTTTCACTGCATATGGTTTACCAGAGGACATTGTCTCAGTCAAAGGCCTGCAGTTTATTTCAGAAGAGTTTGACATGTTAGGTCTAAATGCAGTGAAGTGTGACGAAGTTGCTTCATTTCATGAAGCGTCAAATGGAGCAGTGGAACAGCTTTTTTCAAACCATTAACCAGACAATCTCCCTAACAATCAGAAAATCACTAACTATCAGAAAAATGAAGTAAGGAATCAGTTAGTAGTTTTTAAACAGACAAAGAAGTCCTAAGACTTGTGCTGTTACCTTAACACGATGCTTGTGGCCAGCTGCAAGCAGTGATAATGCTATATTTACTGAGTTACCAGGCTAGGTAGCCTTAGAAGCCTTTATGGCTGGAGTCACAAAATACTGGCCTTCTTAAAACTCAGCCCTTTGTGGAGTCAATGACAAAACTCTCGCTTACACGGAGGAGAAGGAGTGATTTTCTTCCCTGTGTCCCCTCATGCAGGTTAGAAAATGCTCAAGAGTTTGAAATTCTGAGCAAAGAGGAAGCTCAGAGCAACATGTATAATGAGCAAGTGTGTCAGACAAGTCATTTCTTACAAAGTTCTGAAGAGTTTGTTTTCCTGCTTTTTCATTCTGACCTGGGAAAGTGCATGGCATTGCTGTTAAAAGCTATCACAAAGACTAAAATGAGTGAGGAATAACGATTCATACTGAGAACAATAGGGTTTTTGTGTCCTATAGGGATGAATTGTTCAGCTGACAATCAAGGTATCGATACATGACCTACTTCTCTACCACTGATATATTATATGGCTATTTTTGTTAGCTATACAATAAATATTTTGATCTTTTGTCATACTCTTGATATTATCTAATTGGATTGAATGGCAGCAGAGATCAGCTCTTACTGTGTGCCCACATGGTGCACAGTACCATGGCGTCACAAACAGCCCCCAATAATACAGTTAATAACAAAATAAAGTTTAATACTCTAAACTGTCCAAACATACATGCAAGGTGTGAGGAATTTTTAGTCAACCCACTTAGGGCTTTTTAAATTGTGAAATTGCTTGGAAAAAAATGTTGAGCAAGTCTAGTAGAGCTGAGAAACTAGCTAGACTTCTGAAAATGAGAAAACAGGCCTCACAATGTGGACTATAATCGATGGCTAAGAAATCTTTCAGAGCTACAATTTGAAATGTGAACTTTTATTTTATTTTTGGGCCTTCCAGTGCTTTTTAGTCTCATTCTTTTGTTTTCATTTTTGGGTTTTATTTTACTTGTGATTGGATTTTTCCTTGTATTTTGGAATGGGGTATGACTTGCATGACTCAGCAGCGAAAGAAAAAAACTCTGTTGATTATTTTTAGGACATTGCAGGTGGGAGATTCTCATCTGGTCTAGTTTGTTGTGACGACATTGAAGTGACCATATCTGAGATAATTTATACAGAGACCTACTCCGTGTGTTTCAAAGGTGACTTTTTCCCATGTGTTAAGGGGTAGATTTGCTGAGGGGAGGGTTTCATGGAGGCCAGCCCCCTCTGCATTTCTCCTGGGTGTGGCACATCTGTTCGCCAACACATAATATAGCTGTACAGCTCTGCACAATCTCCTTCTCCTCTGCCTTCATACCTCTCATTCACATTGTGGCTGCATCTGTCTGATATATTAAAAGCACCGAAAAGCTTAGGATATTATTAATAGCTTTTTGCTGAATGGTGGTTTTGAAAATCATTTTGGTCTATCTGTATTCTGACTGCAGACAATTCAGTCAAAGAACAGTCTCTGAGTTCTTTGGAGCGAACTATCACAGTCAAGTTCAGTGCTGGTGGTAAGGTCACCACAGAGATGGTCTTAAATGACAGTGTCATGAACTTGCCAACGGATTCTTGCCAGCTTGCTGGTGTTCTGGCCAAACCCTTCAACATGATGGACAGGACAAGTACAGATGAAGCCTTTGCCCTATTGCAGCTAGAGAACGGTTGATGATGAATAGAAATGACTCCCAATACAATATATCACATTATATTTTATAAGCACAGCCGAGCTGTCTCCAGCTTACTGCGGGCCTTTATAACTTGCCTTTGAATGTTCTTAACAGTCATTTTTACCGATGAATGTATATTTTTTGCCCACAGGCTCTTATTCACCAGATATGTGGATTCTGTGTTTGCTTTGATGCTGTTTGTTTTGGTTTGTGGGTTTGGTGGGGTTTTTTCATACATGTTACCTCATTATTTGTGGCAACTTCAGCTTTTGTATATTTAGTTCTATTGGATTGTCTGTTTTCATTGTACATGATTTTAACATGTATTCCCCTCTGTATTTTGTGTATAGAAAAAAATCCAGTTTAGAGGCCATTTCAGGATACACTTACCTGGGCCAAACAGTTCTAAATTTGAATCACAAAATTTCAAAAGAAATCCTATTCTCTCCATTGTTTGAAGTAGTTCAGTTAAATAAACTCAGAAGAATAGAGCCCTGCTGTAGGATAACAGTTAAGGAATTGTAAAGAAACAGTCATAATTTTATAGTACATCTTGAACTCCATTTAATTGAAGTAATTCATTGGGAAAAATTATGGGCAGTCATACTCAGGAGATTTATTTATAGAGAATCCGATTTAATACAATGCTGAGACTAAAGCTACCCTGTCTCTTAATCTGGGCATGTAATTTTTGTGAATATTAGAGAGTAGTGTGTGCATGAACCAAGGACGCCTGTATCCCTAAGTGCTGAATTGCTGTATTCAAAATCATTCTTCTCCTTACAAAGGATTTAATATTAGAATTGTTCAGAATTATACATGGTGTGACTTTAGCAAATAATGTTGAATATTACTTAGTCATTATTTCGAAAAGGGAAGTTACAAGATGTGGCTGAATAAATAAAAGACAGTCATTAAATATGTAGGATCCTTATTGACTTCCTTCCTTGTAGTATTCTCTAAAGTTACAGTAGTGTATGCTGTGGAAGAATCAGTTTTTTCATGTTTCTTCTATTTTTTCGGGAGTTAGAGTTTTAAGAATTTCTTATTACTCTCCAATACTGAAAAGTCAGAAGATAATTCAGGTCGGAAAGGACATTGGGAGGTCTCTTGTCCAAGCCCTTGCTCAAAGTAGGGGTCAGCTATGGGCTCAGACTAGGTTTCCTGGGACTTTCTCCAGACATATATGGAAAAATTCCAAGGATGGGGACTGTAACAGTATACACAGAAATGTCCAGATGACAGTAATTTCAGAATGGTAAATATATGCTCTGACTGCTACGGACTCCCCAGATTAACTGCTCCTTTGGAGCCCCACCTGGAAAGGTTCTTGCCTGCTCTGAGGCAGGTCTGTTGGAAAGACGTTAGAATTTACATCAGTCGGTATCTCCTAGGTGCTACAGGATATCTGAGCAGTGTGAAATACTGGCTACTTAGCTGGATCCTCTCAGCTAATGGTCAAGGATGTGGCTGTACTGAAACGGGACAAATTAGAAGTCTTTATTCCCATTAAAGATCAGGTCAATTAGCGTGTAGCTAGGCTTTTAAGTCAAGAAGTACATGCAATTTGGCAAAGCACCAAGTGATTGAATCGATTGGGTTTGACACTTAAGCTGCCAGGAGGAAGAGATGACTTTCTTATGTGCCTGATGACTTGACAAGCAAATGTCAGTACTATTACAACTACCAAAACAATACTTATGCAGAAGATGTTTATAAAATACATTTACATTAATGCTAAGAACAGTAAAAAGGAGGATAGTGATGAATACAAGCTCCATCTGTAACTGTAAAACAGTAGCTATATAGACTGGCACTGTTTCAGCTATCTTCAGAAATTTTGGTCTTTTCATTAAGGATGCCAGAAGCAGACTCAGTAGAAATATTTACATTTTTATTTCAGAGCAAGATAGTCTCACATTGAAGATGCTTTGTTCCCACTGAAGTGTGAGGAGCAGCAGAAGTTATTTAAATTTGCTCATTTCTAGAAATGAAATATCTGATTATGGCAGAGATATTTTAAGCTCTTATTAGGGTAAGTTCCAACGCTAAACACTTTGCTACTAGGTTCTGCAAATCTTAGTCTGTATATCTTCATCCTCTTACTGCTTAACTCGATAGAGATTTGGGTCAAACATTTGTCTCATTTACAGTAATGGAGTTCACAACTGTTTGTTATATAGGAAACTAGCAAAACCCTAGTATAGCATCCAGAAAGAAAGTTAAATGGTTAGAAATAATAAAAAATGGAAACGCCTACTATGTGCTGCATTGGAAAGATACAGAGCAATGGTGTAGCGTTCTGACTGCAATATGAACAGCAGACATTATAGGGCATGATTAGACTGGTCTTTGAAGTAACCATGGATTTTTAAGCTCTGTTTATTTTTTTTTTTCATAAGCTAAGGTTTAGCTCTTACATTTTCATAAAGGAAGATGCAGTCTCCCTGAAAGCAAATAAAATTATGAAATATGTTTTCTACGAATGGAAGAAAGAAGGAATGTAATCACCAGTACCTGATACACATATACTCTGTGTTTCTGAGCAGATGTGTTACTGAATAGAATGGCCAGACATTAGCATTTTTAATGTCTTCTAACAGCACATGACAAATGTGTCATGAATAATTAGATATTACTAACTACTGAACAGTGCTTAATTCACTTACCTGCCAGTGCATTTGCCCTTTCTATCTGACAGCTCAAGTTGAATAAATGCTATCTCTGGCTCTGAACCACCAGCTGCACAGGGCAGAAAGGTCAGTCTTTCACGTCATAGAGTGAAAGCTTTGTACACGGAATAGTAATGCAGCTCCTGAGTTGGTACTGTTTGAATGAAACTGCCTGGATGGTCAGTGGAATGAACTGCTACTGGGCTTTGCTCTCTGATTAGGTGGTGTGCTAGCCCCATGGCTTTAATGCAGGTGTGGCACAGATTAGCTTCAGTGAACTAAGAAAAGAGTTTCTCAGTATATATACCTATCATGATATGTCAAGAAATTTCTTCTTATATATTAAACAACGCAACAGCCAGGTCCTCAGCTAATGAAAACTCCATTTCATTGAAGTAAAAAATCTCTGCTATTTTCCACTACCTATAAACTTAGTTGACTGCATTGTTTGGAAGAGTGTAATGAACTTCAGATCTTTAGATATACTAAAGCCTACAAACTCCTTTAAAAATTTTGATGGGACTATAGTACAAGCGTGTGTGTGTTTTTAAAGATTTTGCTGTGTTTATTTTCAGTTTGGTGAGGTCAGATTTGCAATACTGTGCTGGCTTAGAATGTTCTTCACACATATCTGTAAGGCTACACTAGCCAATAAAATCAAATTTACAGCTGGAAGAGAATTGATTACCTTAGCATCCTTTTCCAATGTTGTCAACAATTTATATTTTAGGCAGAAAATAAGGTCACATAACGGCCAAGACTCTGCTGCAAATGCCATTGAAATCAATGGAAACTTTCACACTGACTGTAGAATACTTACAGGTCAGGCTCTAAAGTCCAAATTCTCATGCTGGAAAGCTGCTCAGTGCTCAGGATTGGCCACTGAACAAATAGAGATGGAAAGAAACTCACATCCTGTACTAGGCAGTAGTAACTATTTAGGCTTAGAAGGAGGCAGCCGTTTTGCTGTAAACAGTGGAAAAAAAGGGGCAGAGCAAGTTTTTTGTAAAAAGAAATAAATAGATTAATGCCATTTTAAAAGACAATGATCTAGTCTGTTTGCTGTGATTAAAAGGAAAACTGGAAAAAAGAATCGTTTCACAGGAAAAAAATAAAAGCATAGATGATTTAGACTGAGAAAAGTCTCAATGTGTAGCTCAGACTATGCTGAATTCCATGAAAATGGAGGCTGCTAAACAGGAGGAAAAGTGAAAGAAAAAGTGAGGTGGCAGGGTCTTCCACATGAAGAGCGTGATAGAGATTTTGTGATGTCTTGTCACATCTTCCACATCTGTGAGAAAGCAATTTGTAATCATTCCTAAAGTTTTACCTAATTTAAAGGACAGTGAAGCTGATGCAATGTTAGAAAGGTAATTTTTCTTTTATGAAGCTGTCTGTTAAACTTTGCCTTTCTCAGCATGTGCTATCTAGTCTCTTTCGTTGCTTCTTAGCAAAAGCGCTTTCTGTATATACTTGAAAGATGCATTTTGGCAATAAGATGGGATGGGAGCTTTTGCATCTAAACTGAGGAAATGGGAATTAAAGAAGCATTGAAATGTGCTTCTGTGCTGTGCTTTCTGCTGTTGAGATGCGATGCAGCTGTTTCTCTTCAGGGCAGCAGGTACGTAATAAGAGAAAACATAGTGTCTTTGCTGAAATAAGTTGCCATTTTGTCATGGGAAGACATGGGGAAGGAATGAGCAATTGTTCATTCACATCAAGAGAAATATTAACCAAGCAAATAAGATTAATCATTTTCTAATTAATATGAATACATTTAGGACACATATAAATATATTTATGTTATACAGCACAACTCAGGTTGTGTTGGTCTTGATCCATAAAAGAGAAATCTTGAGTTATCCTTCCCATCCATTTAGTGATTGACGGTCATGAAGTTCAGAGGCCAACTGAAAAACTATTTTATGTCTTTTTAATGTAAAAATCATTGCAAAATTTTCATCACTCACTATCTCACAGGGTACATTCATTCATAAGATGGTTTTAAAATTGTGTCTTGTGAGTTTGTGTATGCACATGATGACATATTGATGATAAAGCAATTTACCCATTTCACTAATTGTAAACTGCATGCTGTGGCAAAGCAGCAAATGTAAGGAATTTCATTCAGCATCACTCACATGCCTGCTGGATTGGTAAGCTCTTCAACAGTATGATTATATCTACTCTGTTGGTTCAGTCCTGTGCTTTCAATGGTAAATGATATTTTTACAGTTAAATATTCATTTTTTTATTTCTGTGAATATTTACAGGACTCTGATCCAAACTATAGTTGTTCGGATTTCCATCGTCATTATTATCTGGAA